TTTACCTATATTTACTCTGATAAAGTCCTCAAATTTTACTGATAAGCTTCCAAAAGACTTTTTTTACTTAAATGTTCTAAATGTCAATCTAACTTGAAGTTTCAAGGGTCAGAACCTCTAATTGCCAGAGATGACTTCCCCAGAAGTAGGTCTCTAAATTCTATATTATTTCTTTGGCTCAAAGACCAATGGTTACACATGTAATGTATCTCTTAGAGGACCTGCGATTTTTATATTCCATGTAATCTCATTGTTCATGAAATCAACTTAAAGTCCCATTTTAGAACATTAAAAACAGCCACTTCCTACTGTTAAATTAGACTAATGATCTTTCTTACACTTACAGATGTGAGATTAAAACAAATCAAAACAAAAATTAAAAGCCCAACCATGTAAGTACACTGCAGTTTCAAGACCTTTAATGCAGCAGGGTGCAAAGTCACAGTCAGGACAGGAGCCAGGTTTTCTTCAGTCTAGAAAAAGACACCAAGCCCTACCAAGAAAACAAATGAAGTACCCCTTTTGACTTTTTTTCATCAAACCCACTCAAAACATATATATTATATCATCATCACACTTCAAAAGTATAGTATGCTTCATTTGACTTTTAATCAAACTTCCCAGTCAGAAAGTACATATCACATCAAGTCACTATACATCAAAAATATAATATGTTCTATGTAAATGTCACTTACGTAGGCCAATAATACTTTACATGAGTAGATAACTCTGCCACTTACAAAGTGATTTTATTTTCATATCTGATTTGATCTTCACAAATACTCTACAAAGTAAGGCAACTGCCTATTAATTACAAATGAAATTTGTAATTTACAAATGAAACCAAATACTTATAAATTAAATTGCTTGCTCAACACCATTAAAAATCTTCTGATTCCCAATCCATTGCTCTTTTTAACACTTCATCACACTGGCAACATGAACCAGGAGTAAGGTTTTATAATAGTGATTCATAAACAAGTCCCTAAAATATATATTTTTTACTTTCTGTGATGACAGAATATCTTTAACTCACCTTACTTATTTTCTAATACTTCCTCAGAAAACTCTATAGGCCCTTAAAGAGCTTCTGAAACATTAAATGTCCTTTAACACATTGACAACCATACAAAAAAAATCAGAAACTCTTCCTTGGGGACACAGTGTTTTATTACAAAAATAGATAAAAACTTCAAGTGTAATTTAAAGGTAAACATAAATAGAAAAATAAAATTTATTAACTTCTATTTAATCCTCGTGTTTAGAATTAAATTGTCAATATTAATTGTAACAATAAGAACATCAACAAGTAAGATTTTATATATGCCTCATGTGGCCCTAGGGTCAAAACTAGAGTGAGTTAAATACAACTCTCATGGCAGTTGATATGTCAAAAAAAAATTCTTTAGCAGTTAGTTGCAATTCTTCCCATGTTATAGGACTAAATTTTATCTTAGATTCAAATTGAGAGATGATTTAATTAAGTGTATCCGGTGCAATACATTAGAAATGATCTTTGAAGCCAACTTAAATTTTTTAACTATTTAATCTAGTCAAAATTGCAGAACTGCAAGGAAGGAAATTCTTGAAAATGTAATAGTCATCACTTAGATTATAGCAACTTCCTCACCTTCACCACACACAAACACAAAAACAATTCATACTCTAGTAGTTGTGCATTGTTAGATGAGTCTGCATTTTCTGTTTTAAAATACCCTGGGCTTAACAGGCCTTGCTGGTATTTCCATGTTCTTAACATGTTAAAAAAAACTACCACATCTATGGTTTTAGCAGTTCATACTCATCTAATTTTTTAAAATCTTTTTTTTTTTTTGAGACAGAGTCTCGCTTTCTTGCCCAGGCTAGAGTGAGTGTCATGGCGTCATCCTAGCTCACAGCAACCTCAAACTCCTGGGCTCAAGCGATCCTCCTGCCTCAGCCTCCCAAGTAGCTGGGACTACAGGCACGAGCCACCATGCCCGGCTGATTTTTATATTATATATATTAGTTGGCCAATTAATTTCTTTCTATTTTTATGGTAGAGACCGGGTCTCGCTCAGGCTGGTTTCAAACTCCTCGAGCAATCTGCCCGCCTCGGCCTACCAGAGTGCTAGGATTACAGGCGTGAGCCACCGCGCCCGGCCTTAAAATCTTAACTTGGATAAGAATACAATTTTAGAACAGATATTTTAAGAGTTAATGGACACTTAGCATTGAGGTAAAACTCCAATTATTCTCAAGGCTGATAATAGCAAAAATGCACAGGGTATTCCGATGGGAGAACAATGTAGCCCTTTTCTTTATGACAGAAAACAAAATGCAGGCTACCCAATCATGGTACTTACTTGACCATATCCAAGATAAACATAATTGAAAATAAAACAAAAACAAAGAGAATCCAAAAGATCAGACATATTAAACAGGCTCTTTCAATGTTAACAAAGTGATTCAATGTTAACAGGCTTAAAATGCCCAGTTATAATAACTGCAAAACTTTTTTCCACTGGCAAATACTTATAAATAATAAACAAATTTTGTTACATCCAGATCTTTTTAGTAGGTTCATATGTGGGACCTTTTGTGACCTGATGTATTTACAGGAATAATCAAGATTGCCCATCCTTAAATTTAAAAAGCTAAGCACTTTTGCTTTTGATTTTACTGAACAAGGGGAAAAGAAATCAGATCAAAAGATGGTATGTGCAAATGCTAAGAATTACAGTCATATGTTTTTTATTTTTTCCAGTCCAACTAATCCAGTTCTTGTCTCTTCTCTCCAAATAACTTACATTTAAATTCACAAAGTCTGTGGAGGCAGCAACAGGGATTTTTGCCTATATTTTTTACTATTGTTGTTTATTTGCTTTTTAAAATAATGTTTAAAGAGTCCATACAACTGGAATTACTGCCAGCCTTTTGTTGTTTTTTAGGGGCATTCCAGTAACCTGTCTAGAATTTGTTACACAAATTCTCAAAGAGCTGTAACAACTGCATCCTCTTTAAAAATTTTTTCCTACAGAAAAAAGTATAAGGAAAAAAAATCATTTGTAGTTTCACTAGAGAATCACTTTATAAATGTGAATATCCTTTGAATCATTTCTAATAGAAATAGATTCACTTCCTGTTCTATGGTTTACTTTACAAAATTGGAATTGCACTGTTATCTAACTTGTTTTCATTTAAAAAGGAGTATTCCTGGCAGGGCGAGGTGGCTCACGCCTGTAATCCTAGCACTCTGGGAGGCCCAGGTGGGTGGATTGCTCAAGGTCAGGAGATCAAAACCAGCCAGATCAAGAGCGAGACCCCATCTCTACTATAAATAGAAAGAAATTAATTGGCCAACTAATATATATATAGAAAAATTTAGCCGGGGCATGGTGGCAAATGCCTGTAGTCCCAGCTACTTGGGAGGCTGAGGCAGTAGGATTGCTTGAGCCCAGGAGTTTGAGGTTGCTGTGAGCTAGGCAAATGCCACGGCACTCACTCTAGCCTGGGCAACAAAGTGAGACTCTGTCTCAAAAAATAAAAATAAATTAATTAATTAAAACTAAAAAATAAAATAAATAAAAATGAGTATTCCCACACCCTCAAACCACACAATTTTAGTAGATTCTTTGGAATCCCATCCTCGGTGTAAAACAGTTAAAAATTTGCATTAGAATAATACTCTTTCTCCTACCCTTCCCCTCTATGACCTGAGGTCAGGGAATAACAATAAGCCGTTCACAAGGGCTAGGTGTGATAAATATCCTCTGAGACACGTGAGACCTAATAAGATTCAAACCTTAAGCCAAAGATAGGTAGGATACATTAATAGGGACATTTCAAGCACTATCTAGTGGATGTGACCTTACTGGAGGAGGCAAATCTCCTAAAATTCGTACTACTATTATCCTTTCTAGCTACAAGAAAGCTCCATTCTGTTTTTTAACAAAGCTAGAGTGGAACAGTGCAAATTTCACCATTCAACAAAATAACTTAATTGGATGAGTTCGTTAAAATCAGCGCCCCCAATGGCAGAGTAGGCTTCATTAAACAGAGATAAACATATAACGTGCACAATGCACTTAGTGGGACAGCTTCTACAGAAGACAAATCGATAAGGAAGACCAACGCAAAAGGGGGCCTGTGGAGGGGAAGAAGGGAAATCAAGTGGATTTGATCATTATCAGACAAGCGTATAAGTAGAAGTCTCAGCTGCATTATTTAGTATTTAATCTTTCTATTCCTGGCATCACGGGGCTCTAACGTCACCAAAAAAGATAGGCTGGCAGAAAACCCGACAGGATGACGCACATAACATTTTACCATATGGATTCTCATCAGTCAGGACCGAGAAGCGCCCCAAGCCTCCCCAGCGAAGGAAGGAAGGTGCCCTGGGCCACCAGCTCTCCAACCCTTGACGAACAGCTCGGGGCTGCACGCGGGGTTCGGAGGCTACGGAACTACCAGACCGGACGCTTCAGGGGCCCGCTCCGGCTGCGGGGGCTGCGGACTCGCAGCCTGAGGATGTGGCCCTTGCGGGCGCGCATGCCACACGCCAAGGGTCAAGTCCCCGCCCCAAGCAGCCCCAGCCTAACAGGGAGACCCCGCCACTGCCCTCGCGAGGCTGCTGAGTCGTGGGTGCCAGCTAGGGACCCCGACAGTCGGCCCCGAACACTTTCCCAGGCTTAAAGCCACCCAGTACCGTACCTGAAGGGGCAGTGCCACCTCCTCCCGACTACGCCGGCTGTCACGGTGGCGGCGGTCACGGCTCCAGGCGCCAGTGACGCCTCTCATAAAAACAACCTGCTCCCAGGCGCCCGCAGCCCAGAGGCGGAGGCCGGCAGGGCGCCGCAGCGCACGCCGGGACTTGTAGTCCCGCCCGCGTCTCGTGCCGGGTAGTAGCCGAGGAAAGAACTACGACTCCCGAAGAGGAGTGCAGCCCGCCCCGGGGAGGCTACAGGAAGCTGGGCCAGGCGGCAGCGATCCTCACAACATCCGGGCCGTGGCGCCCGCGGCCAGTTGCTATGGAGACGAGCTGCAACCACTAGAAAGCATTTGCGGTTTCACCGGGGAAAACAGCTCCCTGGATAAAACGGATTTATACACTTTGATCCAGCCAACTACTCATCTCTTTGCTACTTTAATTGGGTGCTGTTAAAAGGCCGCGTCCCTGGGCGCTCGCCGGCTTTGGTGCTATCTGCTGTGCAAAAAGGCTACGTTTGCCGAAAAAATTAACAAAGAGTGAGAATGACGGACCGCAACTGGGTGAGAAGTCTAAACAGAAATCTAGATGTTTTTGAATGTTGGTATTCTTTAATATAATTTGAGTCACTACCCACTGCCACACCCCCATCACTCCCCACCCCCGGCAAAAGCACCTTTCTAGGCAATCACGGAGCTTTTACACTTTAAGAATGCAAATGCATGTTTCGTTAAATCAGAATTGCCTCTGAAGGTGTAAAGACGATCCAGGATGGTACGCACTGGTATTCCACTGCAAACTGTCCAGTGATGATTTTGAACAAGAAAAACGTTACCTTTTTAATTGTAGATTTATTTATATTGTGCCTTGTCCAAAAAAAGGGTAAGAAGAAAACAAGATACGTTGCACTTATATTCACTGGTGATGGTAGCAGTGGATTGTCTGTTCTCTGTTGTGGCAAAAGTAAATAAATGTAAAAGGAAAGCATTACAACGACAATGGTGGGCCTAAGCAGAGACAAAAGGGTGCCTCAAAATTAGACCTTTTTAAGTTTCTTAGTTTTGCTTTTGTGTTAACTATATTTAACATCAACTGTGACACCAAAAAAGAAAAAACAATTTTTAATTTTATGATTACCGATTCTGTAATAACAATTTTTATTATTCAATGGCTTGTTTTTATTTTTCTTTTTTAATAAATGTGTGTTTTTATACCAAAGAACTTTGAAAAGTTAAAGTGGCCTGGCTTTCTCTAACTTAAGGAGAACCTGAAAATTAAATTAGTAAGACAGCAAATACCATCTGTTTGTAGGTGTTTATACTTTTCAAAGCATTTTCACTGGCCAATTTTAAGACAATCTCTTTTAAAAGAATCATTTGCATTTTTTAGAGTTAAGATGCAGAAGTGCAAGTGGGGAAATGATAAGATTATACCTCACTGAAGCTTTGAACTCCTGGGCTCAATAGATCCTCCCATCTCTAGCCACTGGAGTAGCTAGGACTACATGCATGCACCACCACACCTAGCTGATTTTTTTATTTTTTGTGGAGAAGGTGCCTTGCCCATTTGCTCAGGCTGGTCTCAACTCTTGGCCTCAAGCCAGTTTCCAGCCTCCAACTCCAAAGTGCTAGGATTATAGGTGTGAGCCACCAAGCCCAGCCCTCATTTGCAATTTTAACTAACATTTTTATCCTTAAGTAAATCACAGTTGCTTACATATGTTATCTGGCAGACTTTAAAGTAATCCTTTTTCTTTGTATCAGCCTGTTTGTTTTGTTTTTAACTGTAGCTAGTTTGAACTCCCACACTTTAAGGATATCAGATTTGAAGAAGGTAAAACCCAAATAAAAAAGCTGCAGTGAGAGTAGATGATGTGAAATAAGATCTATGGGTATTTTGTTTCTGGATCTATAAACATTTGTGAATTATCCTGGAGATCTAAAAGATTTCAGTATACACTAACTTTTCAAGATTTTATAGTACTAATTATGCCAACAAAGTTTGTCAATTAACTTGAATTCTGTTTTGTTTTGAAATTTTGGTTTTCTGTATTATATTTTGACCCAAGACTGATCAGAATTTTACAGCCTGTAGTAGACAAGGAGATTTGATGAAAAAAAAAAAAGAGTTCTCAGTAATTGAAGGGATAGTACTAATGACTATGACAACCAAAAACAAAAACCATGGGTTACCCTGGGCAACCAGCCTATGTGCCCATAAAAGTAAGTTAGGGTGGCACTTTTCCCCAAAAGTCAGACAGGCCAGCCAACTTCAACCTATAAAGCTTTTCCCCTGCGCTGAGGAAAGCTAGACATTTTGAGAAAAGCTGACCTGTTGAGATACCATCAAAATCTTAGGATTCTTGTGATTTACTATTATCCAATGTCTCTGCTTTTGATATTTAAAACAAATCAAACATTAGTAAACTATAGTACATTAATATAAAGTGTTATTCACCTATAAATTTCAGAAGTGGAAGATCATACATATACATTGAGGCAAACCTACAAAAATAAAAATAGCAAAAATTGATTCCATTTATATAGTGATTTTAAAGTGTCTCAGCACCATGAATGACAAGAGTTTACTATATGGAAAAAGAGTAGAACTTTAATGCATACAAACAATCTTCTATATAATTCAACCTTTAAAAGTCAATTAGTACCCTACCAACCACTATTAGGTTATTTATTTTATAAAATAACTTTTTTTTTTAAGACACAGGGTGTCAGTCTGCTGCCCAGGCTGGAGTTTAGTGGTACAATCATAGCTTACAGTAACCTCGAACTCCTGGGCTCAAGCAATCTTCCTGCCTCAGCCTCCCACGTAGCTAGGACTATAGGCATGTGCCACCACGTCCCTGGCCAGTTTTTTTTGTTTTTTTTTTTAGACATGGGGTCTTGCTATGCTGGCCAGGCTGGTCTTAGTTTCCTACTGCTACATTTGGACAACTCTGCTATCTGAGTCCTGATATTAGAAAACAAAGCCATCTAGTCTGTTTCCTTTGTTTTGTATTTATACACAAGGAATTTGAATCCTTGTAAAATAATTTCATCAAAGTCATACTGCTATTATCAATGCCAACATTAGAATCTGGAACTGGTGACACCCAATTTGTGCTTTTTATAACTCTTTTTTTCTTTTTAGCTTCTAGATGTTTGTACTTTTTATAACTCTTACAACAGAAGGTATACAAATTAAAACAAGTTTCCCAATCAACCTGCTTGACATGTTGCATGTTCCTGTATAATCCATGCAGCTGTCATTATTATCTGGCCCTATAATTCACTCCCTTCCTCTCCAAATCCCCACACCCCTCAGCCTATCCCCTAAAGGCCCCTTTAACTCCTGGCTGCAATTTAGACATATCTTTCATAACAAGTGTGTAGCCCAGTATTCAAAGTGTGATCCAGTGACCAGCAGCATGCGTATCACCAGGGACTTTGTTAGAGATGCAGAATATAGCTGAGGGCAGTGGCTCACCCCTATAATCCTGCCACTCTAAGAGGCCGGGGCAGGAGGATCACTTGAGGCCAGCAGTTTGAGACCAGGCTGAGCAAAAGTGAGACCTTATCTCTACTAAAAATAGAAAAATTAGCCGGGCATGGTGGCACCAGCTACTAGGGAGGCTGAGGCAGGAGGATCGCTTGAGTCCAGGAGATTAAGGTTGCTGTGAGCTAGGCTGACACCACGGCACTCACTCTAGCCTGGGCAAAAGAGTGAGATTCTGTTGTTTATAAACCAATAACATCTAAAAACTTACACGGTTTATAAATTGAGGCAGTATCATAGTGTTTTATACTATGTTCTCATATTTTGCTTTAAAATCTAAGGCAAAGAAACTTTTCAGAAGAGCTCCTTTAAACCCTTTTAACAGATCTTTTAGATCACTTGATGGCTTTTTGAAAATCCAATCCAATAGTGTTCCTTTTGCTGCTGTTATTCTACCAGGGGAAAAAGTCTTTTTCTTACTGTAGTAAAAATTCCCTTTTGCAAGTACAGGTGTTACAGATAAAATTGCTGGTGTTTTTTTTTCTCCTACTTTCTAGGTTACTGTTCATTTCTTCAGTTATTATTCTATTGTCATCTTGAGCTGACAGCCTTTAATCTTTTGCCTCATAAAAATCTCCTTACTGGTCATTTCTTGGGAGAGAATAAGAACATTATTTCATGAATATCTATCTTGTCTAGATAGATACTCTTGCTGTCACTGACCCAGCCACCTTTTTTTTTTTTTAAGAGATGGCGTCTTGGTGTGTCACCAGGCTGGAGTGCAATGGTGTGATCATAGCTCACTGTAGCCTCCAACCTCTGGGCTCAAATAATCCTCCAGCCTCACCTTCTAGAGTAGCTATGAGTATAGGCACATTCCTTTGTACTTGAGTCATATTTTTAAAACCCTTATTCACAGAAAAATACTTTCAAAAAGTTTATTAGGGACACTGTTCAGGTAGAACATTAATAGTAAAATTGACTAAAGAATAGATTGAATATGGTTTTATGGTACTTTAAACACTGGCCTTTAGGAATGTTTTGTGGAAAACATTTTAACTCAGGTTCATTTCAACTCATTAGCAAATTTTTATTTTTTAGGATTATAACCAGCTACAAGTACTTTAAAACACAAATAGCTGTATGATCATGTATTATATATAAAGGTTTTTACTTGTATTTATGATTTTTCCAGCTAGAAATGCCAATGAAATTGAGTTTATAAAGGATTAGCTATTGCAAGTGTTTCAAAAAAATTAATAGATATAATCCCAAAGTGAAATTTATTAAACAAAAAGTTCATTTATACTAAGAGAACTTTAGAGAACCCCCTCAGTTTATAATTATAATATTTACCTTACACCAATGTAAGGTTGAAGAAGAAACTTAACTATTTAAGAAAAGAAACTATTTTCAAGTAATTTATCAATACTTATTACATAAGCAATATAATTAAAATTAATATCCATCCAATCAATACCCATTTTAGTTCTTTTGTAAGTAATGCTGTGCATTTAATTTTTTCTACAAGAAAGTTTCTTAGGATAGAATTCAAAACTAAAATTTCAGGATTCAAAGTCATGACATTTTTAAAGTTCTTGATGCATTTTGTTAATTTTTTGGAACTTGGTTATATTTATTTACCCAGCCATCATCAATGCAAAGTTCTGTTTCACTGCTAAAATTGTATATCAGAATTAAAAACAAAACAAAATGCTCCCTCTGGTTTTCATTTACATTTTTTAAATTATGGTTATGTTTCCTACCCAGGTATATTTTGGTTTTATATGTATATATAAATATAATTTACATAATAAATTGCAGTCCAAGTGTATAGAAAACTTAAAGTCATCCTAGATCTATCCCTCTTCTTCACCACCCACCTCCAGTCAATCACCAGATCCTGTGAATTCTACTTCCAAAATATTTCAAATTTATTTACTTATCTCTATCTCTATACTACTGCCCTACTAAAAATCATCATCATTAGTCACATGCACTGCTGCAGCTCCTCTCCACATCCTCAAAAGGCCCTAACAGCAGCCAAAGTAATTTGAATAAAAATTATGTTACATCACAGCACTCCTTTCCTTCAATAACTTTCCATTGCTTTTACAATAAAGATTCATATTTTTCACATAGTCAACAAGACCCTGAGAGAGCTGGCCTCTGCCTTTCTATTCTCAAGACATTTTTACCCTAACTCACTTGACGTTGGTCACACTTTGTTCTCACCTCTATCTTTTTCTTCCTTGCCTTCCAGTCAGTCTTAGATTTAATAGTGCTTGACAAGAATGGCCTTTCCTACCTCCCCAAACACATTAGGTTAGACCCCCACTATGTCTTCATTAAATGTGTTATATTTTTTCTTCATAGCAATTATCTCAATTGTAATTTTTCAGTTAGCTGTGTAACTAGTTGTTTAATGGCTCCCCCCCCAACTCAGGCTAAGATCCCTTTCTCACTCTAAAACCAAGCTGTATTTCCTCTCCCAACTATGATAATTACAAATTTTCCCTGTGATGTACAACTATTTTTATAAATTCTTATAGTTCTAATACAGAATGTTTAAAAAGCTATTTTATGCATACTTTTGACAAGTTTGCTCTGTACAGGTATATGTCATTTAATAGGAATTCTTTTATGCTCGCAAAAGAACAGGATTCCTGAAAAAGGGGAGTAGATGGGGCTAAGTTTTAATTTTTTTAGAACTTTATAATTGAGAATGATTTTATATGTTTATCTTTTAGGATAAGAAAAGTACTTCAGCTTTAAATTCTGATACAGAAATGAAACCTGAACAACTACCTCCTTGTGTGAACCCTGGCAATCCTGTGTTTTCATGTATGTTGGACCCAAAGACACTCTGTACAGCAACCTCACTATCAAAACCTAAGATGATTATGTATAAAACCAATTCAGGTCATTATGGTGAATTTTTACCTATACCACAGTTTTTTCCCTGCAATTATACTCCAACAGAGCAAGCATTTTCAAACCGTATCAGAGCAACTGGATTTTGTGAAAATAACTCTCTAAATATTGCACCTGACAGAACCAGAACCCTTGATTTTCCTAATTTTCAACATACTCTATGAAAATATATTCCTTTGTATATTTAAGAGAAAGCATACCTAGCAAAAACAAGTTTTAAATCTAAGGCAAAAATACTTAATTTAGAAGATAAAAAGACTTGGATCAGTTTTTAAAATACCTTTAAGAAATTAAGCATTTCAACTGATAACTAAATGACAGTGACTTTTAAAAATAAAAATAGCAAAATAAAAGGTAAAAAGTGTTTTAGTGTATCTTACCTTTATTTTGTACACGTACTCCAAAAACTTCAACAAGTTTTCATGATCTTACTTGTCTACTGAGTATATTTATCAAGACAAAGGAACACAGTAGCTCCAAGAAAAAAATGAATTAAGGAAGATTCTGACCAATAATTTCCCACTTTTCTGTTATCTCAAATAATGGCTTAGAAGTCAGGAAATGATAGTTCCCAGTGGTACACTGGTAGAAGAGAAGACTTATTCATTCATGTATTTAGCAAAAATTTATTTAACATTTACTTATAGCATAGTATACTATGCAAATGCGGACACACAAATAAAAAACAATGGCTTTTATTATTTCAACTAACAATATTTTGGGAGAATGAGATTAGCAAATTAATAAAAAGTGACCAACCGAGCATAGTGGTTCATGCCTATACTTCCAGCACTTTGGGAATCTGAAGGGGGAGGATCGCTTGAGGACAGGAGTTTGAGACCAGCTTGGGCAACATAGTGAGACCTACTCTCTACAAAAAATAAAAACATTTTAAAGACTTAGCTGGGTGCCATGGTGTTCACCTGTAGTCACAGCTACTCAGGAGACTGAGGCAGGAAGATTGCTTGAGCCCAGGAGTTAAAGGTTGCAGTGAACTTTGATCATGCCACTGTACTCTAGCCCAGGTAACAACAAGATCCTATTTCAAAAAAAAAAGAGAATTGCTGAAATTAAAAGGAGATTGGGAGAAATGTCCTGGAGAAGATAAAGCTAAATCAAAGGAAAGGTCATTCCAGTCAGAAAATGTATAAAAGTACAAAGATATGAGAGAATGTGGTATACTTTTATATATGCAATTAGTTTGATATTATCTTTAACACAGTATAAACATTGGTGGCTGACAGGCTATACAATTCTTCAAGATCTGTGATTTACTGTACACAGAGATTTATTTCAGCTGCCATTATCAGAGCGTTCCACCAAAACCAGCCTATTTCACTTATCGTGCTCCTAAATTGAGCAGCTACTACTACTCACAGCTAATGAGGCGATTTTGAGTCATACTTCTGATTTGCTGACTACTATGTAAATGAAGTAACTTTTGAGACATATTTCTGATTGGCTGACTACTATGTAAATGAGGTGACTTTTGTGAAAACTTGCCATTGGCTAACTGTAATACCCCAAAAGGTATACAACTAAAAGAAAACGAAAAAGGGCGCTCAGAGTTTGGTGGCAGATATCCCTCTCTGAGCCCTCTGGCGAAATAAAGCTGACTCTCCAACTCTCCGTGTGCCACTCGGGTTTTTCTTTGGCCAAGAGGCCAAGAGTTGTTCACAGCCGGGCGAGGTGGCTCACGCCTGTAATCCTAGCACTCTGAGAGGCCAAGGCGGGTAGATTGCTAGAGGTCAGAAGTTCAAAACCAGCCTGAGCAAGAGCAAGACCCCATCTCTACTATAAATAGAAAGAAATTAATTGGCCAACTAATAAATATAGAAAAAATCAGCCTGGCATGATGGTGCATGCCTGTAGTCCCAGCTACTCGAGAGGCTGAGGCAAGAAGATTGCTTAAGCTCAGGAGGTTGAGGTTGCTGTGAGCTAGGCTGACGCCACGGCACTCACTCTAGCCTGGGCAACAAAGTGAGACTCTGTCTCAAAAAAAAAAAAGATCTGTTCACACCTGCCATAACACCATCATAAACCATATGTTCAATTGGGCCTGAGTACCTTTACTTTTTAAAAAAACCTACTTATTTTTCCCTGTTGGTTTCAGGTTTTTCATTTTCATCAATTGGAATAATGTTGTGAGTCATTAGGGGGTAAGAAAAATTGAATCTTCTAATTATAAAAATGGAATGATGTGAGGAAACAGCTCAAACTCTGCAACCTTGTCAGTTTCTTCCAGGCATTACACAAGATTTCCAGGTGAAGGATACAACAGAATTTGAATTTATCAGCCTTTTCTCCCTGAATAAACTATACAAACCATTTTTCCTCTTCACTGTAGGTACCCAGTTTGTGGCAAGTGAATTCATATTTTTAAGATGCAGGACCTAGATTCTAACCTAAAATTCCTTACTATGGCAGGTGGTTAGGCCCTTTTTGTTTTGTTGTTGCTACAATATCTCAAAATCAAGCATGTTTTCTGCAATGCCATTATGTATTCTGTCATTCAGTGCCTATTAAAATCCAGCGAGGGACTATTCTAGGCGCTAGGAGGCAGCCCTAATGGAGATTAGATTCTATTAAGTTCTATTTGGAGAAAACAGACCAAAAAACATATGTATAAATATGTAATTATATAAATCCATACATGTTTACATAAATATATATGTCCATATGTATAGAACATGCTGTCAACAGAAAAGAAGTCAAACTCTGTAAAATAAGTTTAAGAGGTTTACTCAACTCAGTAATCTAGTTAAAAAAAACCAGAAGCTGGATTGGGAAACCCCCTAACAGCTGAATATGCCAGTTGTTTTGAGACATTTTTGCATAAAAAATTTATATCTACAAAGAAAATCACTGGAAGTTCTTAAATGGGAGAAAGCATGGACTTAAATCTATATAACAAGCCTCACCTTTTTCTTGTAGGCTTCTTTGTTTCACAAATAATGATACTTAAATATGAATTCTAACCTCTGTGCCTTTGAAATGTAAAATTTCTACTTTGTCTTACCTAAGAGCCAACCCTTTGGAAATGCAAATTTAGGGTGGAATTCTTTAAGTGAATATATAAATATGGGATGAATAAAACAGACATTGATAAAGTTAAAACAAAGGTCTTAATCCCACACTATCAAAGGTTGGTTGACCAAAAGGAGCCCGATGCTGGTCCTCCAACATTGAAGGGCCCAAAATGAGTCCACTCTATTTACCTCAGTTTGGAGAAATCTAAAAAAGTCAGAAGGCAGAGATCATGATGAAAAACTTGGCTCACAATTGCTTAGGGCGAAGGCCAGGCAGGTTTATCAAGATGAAAATAGTTACAAAAGAGCTAGGATCCTCTGACTTAACTTCCTGCTAGGGGCCCAAATCTTTCTGCATTTTTGGACATAGCCTGTCTAGAATTCTCCCTCTGTACAGCTGAACCTCTAGACAGACACTTGGATGAAACCTCAAAATCTCAGGATCCTCATAAGGAAATGTGGCCTTTCTGTCTAAAAGTGGGCAAACTACTTGGAAACTGACAAAAAAAAAATCTTAAAAAGCATTTTTCCACAAATATTAGTTAAAAAAATCTTTAGTCATGTGGGCAAGTAATCTTAACTTCTTCCACTGGTGTTATAAACAAAAATCTAATCTCTTACTGAAAGCTAGGCACTTGTCTTCAAGGCCGCATTAGAAGAACAATGATAAATCATTGGTGAATAGGAAAGAGAGATTTATTAATTTGCCAGCAAATGAGGAAAATGGCAGACTCCCATCTAACAGTACCAAATTTCCTCATTATAAGCAGAAATACACAGCTTTTAAAGGGATGGCTTTTAGTTCTAGCCTATGGTCCTTCAATTACAGTTGATGATTTTGATGTTCCCATCTCCAAAATGCCCAGTGCTAATAACCAGAGACATTCAAACTGAAAACCAGAAAATTATTCTTTGAGCTCAAATCTAGAAATCTTCTCAACTAACATCCCTCTGGACTCAGACACTGATACCAAGTTGACAGTTTGTTTTAGCCACTCATCTCTGTTTTTCTTTTATTTCAGCTGGTTTGGCTCATTGAAGCCCTAAAGAGAATATTTTAAGCTTTTAATATTATCCTCCTGATAGTTATAGTAGTGTGCCCTGTATTCTTTCAAAAGGTTTTTTTTTTTTTTAGACAGAGCCTTGCTCTGTTGCCTGGGCTAGAGTGCTATAGCATCAGTCTAGCTCACAGCAACCTCAAACTCCTGGGCTCAAGTGATCCTCCTGCCTCAACCTCCCAAGTAGCTGGGTCTACAGGCATGCACCACCATGCCTGGCTAATTTTTCTATTTTGTTTTTTAGTAGAGATGGGGGTCCCCTCTTGCTCAGGCTGGCCTCCAACTCCTGACCTCAAGCAATCCTCCTGCCTCAGCCTCCCAGAGTGCTTGGATTACATCTCAGAAGGTCTTATGGTCTGCATGTAGCTACCCACTAAATGTCAAATGGTTTCTCTCCAGATGGAATGACAAAAACTGAGAAATGCATGGTAACAAGAACACCTTTGTTACCAAACGCTTGGTACTTGTCCTCAAGGCCAAATCAGTGAGAATGAAGAAGAAGTGGTTTGAAGAAAAGGAAAGAGAAGGTTGTTAATTTGCCAACAAATGAGAAGGCCAGCAGACTAGCATCTCAAAGACTTCCATCCTGCCTTTTAGCAGAAACATGGGGCAAAGTGAGGTTTTCAGCAGTTGGGCTCAGGTCTAACCAGTGTCACATGGTCATGGCTTCAGGCTATTGTTAACTATAATTGGTAGTTTTGGTAGACCTTATCTCCTGTGAGGATGACCTTGTGGCCGTTGGACAATTCTACTTAGCCATCTCCTGTGGTTTAAGACTCTAGAAAACAAACAGCAAATAACATTTTTCTGCCCCTTTGATTACTGGCCTCAGGGAAGAAATACACATTTTAATTCCCCAAAAGGGTGGGAGTTTTAGAGAGACAACTCATAAAATATTTTGTTGCCTTTTTTCCAACCTTTACCTCTGTTACACCATAACCTATGAATGACACGTTGGACCTGAAAACCCAGGATAACAGTGACTGAGAGTAGCGCTGATGCCCTAAGTTTTAGTCATACAAACCTAATTAGTTTTAGTTTGGAGAAATGGAACTTGATCATGAGTGATACCATTTTGGTTTGATCTTGTAAACTAAACTAAAATCCTAAGCCCCCGTCGCCTAAAGGGACCCCCTCTTGTCCAAGGGGAGCCCAGAAAAATCTTAAAACTTGAGTTCTAGGCCATGAGGAGAAGGTAGGTCAGACACACCTTATTACACCCCCACCCTTTTGGAGTTTAGAATACCAACTGACCAGCATTAATGTTAAAAGAGAGATAATAAGAATGACAAAACAGATTCTTTGTGGCAATAAGATACTAAATTACTAAAAGGACCTAAGGCCAGGAAAGGCAAAGGTTAAATCACACCTTGCAGGCCATCAATTTGCTTAACAGAACACTTTCCCTATGTATACTGTGGCTTGCTCTACCATTAACAGAGGTCTTTATCTTAAAACATTCCTTTCTACTTATTCTAAGCCTTTAGACAAAGCTTTATTTCTTTAACCAATTACAAATCAAAGACTCTCTGAACCCATCTATAACCTGTAAGCTCCCTCTTCCTCAAGATGCCCTGCCTTTTCAGGCCAAACCAATGTATATCTTCCATGTACTGATTTATGACTTTACCTGCAATTTCTATCTCCCTAACATGTATAAAACCAAACTGTAATCCAACTGCCTCAGGACCAAGCCTTTTTGGCCTTGGACCAAGGCTTACTCAAGGCTTTTTGGATTTGTGGATCCCTGGGCCATCGGGCACATATATTCAACTCAGAATAAACCTCTTTAAATTATTTTACAGAGTTTTGGTCTTTTCCATTAACAAACAATCTGTTGGGGCCTAGTCAGGAGCTCAGTCCTTTACTCCTGACCTCAATTGATCCTCTCACCTTGGCCTTCCAGAATGCTAGGATTAAAGGCATGAGCCACCTTGTCCAGCCAGGAGCTC